TTTCTGTTTTTAGTGACGTCAGAAGGTGTGAAAGTGCAGTTCGGCAGGATTAGATGATGGTAAGAGTCTTTTTGGAAAAGCCGTTATGAGAACTAAAATGATTGAAAATCAGGAAACTGTCTTCCACCACATGTTGCATCAGGTTTTATTCACAATAGGTGAGTGGAAGGCGGCTGCTGTGATCAGTGATCCTGGGATCACTGGGAGGATTTTCCCCAGCCAGCCAATTATTTCAGACCTACCACTGTTTCCAGCGCCGTCCCCAGATGATCAGACAATCGATGGCATGATCGGTACTCTGGACGCTTCGGCTTTAAGAGCTTAGAGCACCGAGCGTGTTGGGCAGTGGACTCTTTAACATTGTGCCTGTTAGGAACGGTCCTCTTGTGATGAATTATAGAAACTCTGTCTGAAAATGTTATTTACTGAAAAACACAAAGCTCCAGTTCGATGTGGTGCAACTATTGCAGATGGTCTGTCTTTCTGAAGACACTTTGGAGACACGTCTAACAAGACTCTTTGAGTTTAGTTTATTCTCTTTATCGAACAAAAATAATCTTTTTTTAAAAAAAAAACAGCTACCCTGTTACGGAGCTGAGCACAAGCTAAACAACAAGAAGGACATACCAAATAAACAACAACGGCAATATTTACATTTATCAGCATCAGTCAACACTTTTGATCTGAGGTGTTTTTTTACACTGAAATTTGGATATAAAAACATACTGCAGCCAGCCACTAGGGGGCATGCTACTGATACAAGTGCTTCAAGGCTTTATGAGGGATTTTAGATCCATCCTTCCCTACAGCTCTTGTCAGTAAACAATAATAATTTTAGAAGACATTTGTGTTTTGCTTTCCACCTTCACACTCATCATCTTCATCACCACCATGATCATCTCCATCCCAACGGTTTCCATGATGAAGAACTAGCCCAAAGTGCTAAACACAGCATGGGCACAAGACACATTAAAAAGCAATAAAACATGAGAATTAAAGTTAAAAGGCAAATAGGAATTAAATCATTATAAACAAACAAATATTGTCTTCAACTGATTTTTAAAAGACTGGAGTTTTTCTGATGCATAGTGTTCAGAGTGTTGGAGCCATCACCCAAAACGCCTCAGCTCCCTTTGATCTGTTTGTTTGAGTCCAGCTCAGCAGAGCAAAATGACCAAATATCCTCAGAATTCACCAAAATTCACAACTTAAACCGACCCTTCCTCATCTGTTCTACACAGCTTTGGTGTTCCTCAAGGCCGCGTGTTCAGCCCCGGATGTTATAAGTTCCAGTTGCATAATAATGAAACCCTATCAACAGTTGAAGGTGTGTCAAAATAACGGGGCAAACTACATAAAATGTCACAATATTAATAATCTGTGAAGGCACAAGTGAGGCTGGATCTGCTGTGGACAACCCCCGTGTGGGAAGAGCAAATGTTTTCAGAACACCTTTGATCCACAGATCTTCCCTTGTCGACCAATAGCGTTGCCATCATTAGCAGTGTTGGGAGTAACGCGGTACAAAAGTAATTAATTACTGTAATGCATTGCTTTTTGCTGTAATGTGTTAATGTAAGGCATTACAGGGAAAGAAAATGATAATATTTACTCGGTACAATTGTTACAACGCATTTTTAAACCCAGAATCAAGATGTGGGTTTCCTAAAAATTCAAATTGCGGGAAGCCTGAAAAAATATCCAGTATCCACATATATGACGTCATTTATGGACTCAGCTTTGCGGACATTCTATGAGCAGAGAGGACTCAGCGGTAATGGCTCAAATACTCCAGCTGCGTCCTGAGCACGGCCGCTGTTATATTCACAAAATCGCTCCACCAAATCCAAGTCATTCATTTGCGATTGTTTATATCAGCCCATATTCTCTGGTACTTCATGTACTTTTCAGCTGAGTTCATAATCTGTGCCCTGGTCATTTCTTCTCATTGCTGTTGGAGCGCAGCGCAGATTAAGCTTTTTATTTTTATTTATTTATTTATTTATTTATTTATTTATTTATTTATTTATTTATTTATTTATTTTTGCGTTCGGTAGATCTCTTTGGCTGATTAGTTAGAAAGTAGGAAATCTAGGAAACAGTTTTTCTGGAAGACGGAGAAAACATGCAGCATGCAGGAAGGTCAGAGAGAGAAAGGGCAGGAAATTATTCACATAAAACCAAGAAAACAAAACAAAGTGCTTAAAAAGAAAAAAGTAGGTAGATTTATCCCCAACACACATTTTTACCAGTGAAAAGCAATAATATATAAGCATTTAATATTTATACGTGTGATAGAATCAGATCACCCCAGAAGTCAGTCCCACATCCAGGGCCGTATCAAGGCATTTGGGGACCAAGGCTAAATAGGCTTGGAGCCCCCACCACCTCACTCCCTGCTCAGATGGCCCTAGAAGATGGCAGCGTGCTGAGAGTACAGATTGTTGTTGCTTTTATTTAATAAACAATCATTTTAAAGCACTGTTATTATATCTGACTGTGTTTAACAGCAACCCTAGCTCAGACACCACATCACCTTCCACATATATGTCATGAGCTCACTGAGCGTCACATGACCAGATTCATACTGAAGTTGTTTTGGTGAAAGTAACTTAAAGTAATGCAAAAGTAGTGTAATGCCTTACATTTTAAAATCAGTAACATTGTAATGTAATGAATTACTTTAAAAAGAGGGGAACAAGGAATAAATAATGCATTACAGTTTTGAAGTAACTCGCCCAACACTGTTCATCACAGAAGCGGAGAATGGGCTGAACTCAGGAGGCAGAAAGCCTCTACAGCGCCATGATAGAGAGCCTCCAAACACACCGCGTGTTGCTTTGGTATAAAACCAGCTCTGCTGCAGATAAGAAAGCACTCTGGAGATTTGTAAAGACTAAAGAGAAAATCACTCGCTGCCCACTGGCCTCTCTGGAGAACTCTGCAGCTTCACGCTACATCAGCAGAGCCACCAGCATCATTAAAGCCTCCTCTGCCCCTGGCCACCACCTCAACAGTCGATTCACATGTAGGAACGGTGTTTTACTTTATAGTCGTTCTGCAACGCTTTATTTAAAGTAGAATTTAAGCTAAATGTGTTTAAATAGGAGAACTAACTAAATAAATTTCTTGTTTTTACAACCTCCTTCTTTATGGTCATTTTTGGAGATTAAGTGAGCTTTCATTGTCCTCATAAAACCACAGTTGTGGCATTGATTATACTCAGTCAAGGTGATTTTATAAAAAAAACATCAGATGAGTCTGATTAGGCTTTCAATGGTTAACTGATTATCGATTTTTACATTTATGAGCTATTGGCTAAACAATGAATAGCAGCTCCAACAGGAAACAATCCCATCCACTACCTAACAATGTCTCAATGACTTTAACAGCTATTAAGCACTAATTAATAACAGGATTGGCATGAAAGTTTACATTTGGTTGGTTTATTGTCATGACCCTTCATTCTGTGGCTCTGAGGAAACACGGACCGCAAAAAGGATTTTCTTTCACAGAAAAATGATGAGAGGAGTTTTTTTTTTACCCTGAATCTTCCATCTTTTTGAAGGTGTATAACAGATTTGTGACATGGCAAAGAAAAGCACATTGTGTGACTGTCAGTCTGTGGGATTTGATCCTTTTCCCCTCAAAGAATCGGTGAATGACCGAAAGGTGGCTGAGAAAATGTAATCTCCAGGCAGCAGATCTGGCGTCAGCGAGCTGCAGAGTTCCAGGTGGATCCGAACACCTCTCTGCAATCTCTCCACCCGGTGTGCAGAATACCAGAACACCTGAAAGTGTGTGTGTGTGTGTGTGTGTGAGATTGGGGGGGGGGTGTCACTGGTGGCTGGAGAAACAATAATTTCAGCTAAAAATAGAAAGTGAAATGTGTGCATGTTGTTGGTTTTTGACGAAACGCAAACGCGCAGTAAAAAAAAACATCATCCGAGAGCAACTTCCATGCAGCAATAGAGAACAGGTGTTAAGTGAGATGACGTTATCAAGGCAGAGACCGGAAACGAAACTGTTTCTACTTCAAAATAAAAGCATTGAGGAGCTTAGTCTCTTGGATGATTAAAAAAATAAAGATTTGTAGTTTCCTTTCTTGGAATAGAAATGTTTCTATTCCACAATAAAAAAATAAAACACTTGAATACAAACTTTAAACACACGAAAAAATCATCTATTTAAACCAGATGTACTTGAAGCATATCCGAGCGCCTTGGGTTGGTGAGATTGGGTCTATTCTGGACGATTGTAACAAGGACTGGATCCACGTTGAATTTTAAAATTCAGATTCAGTCAGACTTCATTATTTCAGAGAAGAAAGTGTGTGTTTACATTTTTCACAGAAAGATCTAAGAGTAAAAAATCAACACAAAGCCAATGATCATCGGGACTGATGGGAGAAAAGAAAACAATTCACTCTGAATAATTTCTGTTCCAGTTGGAATCCTAACTTCTGACGACTGCAGACAGGAGGAAGGTGAAGCATCACGTTTCTGCTGCAGACCAGCGGGTCGTGGAGAGGGTCAGCGAGCTTCTTGAACAGCATCCTCCCCTCAGAGTCCACTTCTACTTCAACAACCTCCCGGCCTATTGTTTATGTTTATGTTTATATATTTAGCAGACGATTTTGTCCAAAGTGACTTACAGATGATATCGGATCCGTTTATCCGCAGGAAGCAACAACACACCGACAACCACAAACTCAGTAAACATCCTGACATCTTCAGTCTGTTAAACTTAAATCACCAATTTGTCCTCTGATCAAAAAACAATGTTTCAACGTGCCGGCGAAAATTGTGTCTATTAGCATAAATTAATGAACAATGACATCTTTGTTGTTTTTCTATATTCAAATGAGTTTGTATGAGACGCAACTCCAGAACCTGTCGAAAATATCCCTGAGAATTTGAGCCCATAGCCAAGTTCTTGATTTTATTTTGAAGTTTGAAACAGGAAGTGGGATTCCTAAATCCTTCCCAGATTCGACAGCGCTCGTGCCAGCCTCCGAGGATTAACGGTGCGGGAGAAGCACCGTGCGAGGAGGACCGAGGATCGGCGGGACCGGACCGTTAAACTCGGTACAACAGGATCCGGACCCCAGCTTTACCGGGACTTTACTGCTCCGTGTTCCATTTGATTCTATTATTTTCTATTCTAATCCCAACTGCAGAAGAGACGCGCAGAGTTAAAAGAGGCTGAGCGACCGGAGGGAAGAGTCGGAGTCAAACCCTGAAAACAAGAATCTCGTTCCTGAAATATTTTAATTGAATTCCAGCGAATCAAACGGGAAACTGGTGGATTTTATGAGTTCGATCAGCAGCAAACTGGCCGGAAACGACAAGAAATGGAATAATTGGACTTTTCAGCCTTGATTCGGGGATATTCTGTCATCCGGTGGAATTCTTCCAGTTTCGCCCGAACCAGGTGTCAGGAATTAGGAGGATAAGTGAGAGGAAATATCACGGGGGCTCACTTCACTTTTCTCTCGGAGGGTGTTCGACTCCCCCCGCGGATGGAGGGATGAAACCGGGAGAGGAGAAGACGGTGGAGAGTAAGAAAGAGAGAGGAGGATGTAGAATGCAAAAGGGACGCACCCCTCTGAAAGACGGGATTGAACTCTAAACCCAAACGGAGTCTACTGGAGGATTTTTACCACATTCATGGGAGGGGTTCTGTTTCCTGGACGCGGTTTGTGTGGAGTTACAACTACAGGCGTCAGGATCATGTAAGGATGGGATCTGGACCAATACCTGCGCCCTGACAGCTCAGCTGGTGGGAACAGAGAACATCTGGGAGGTAAAGGAAACCCATCACACCCACCCACCCACCCACCCATCTATCTATCTATCTATCTATCTATCTATCTATCTATCTATCTATCTATCTATCTATCTATCTATCTATCTATCTATCTATCTATCTATCTATCTATCTATCTATCTATCTATCTATCTATCTATCTATCTATCTATCTATCTATCTATCTATCTATCTATCTATCTATCTATCTATCTATCTATCTATCTATCTCCTTCTTGGATCAGTGGATCCGTGTTTCTTCAGGATCAAAGTCTTATTTCTACATTTCATTGCAGTCATTTAGTCTGGATGCTGAAATGGGGCGGGCTTGTTGGGGGGGGGGGGGGGGGGTGTTGGGTTGGGTGGACAGGCCCCTGTGTGGCTCAGACACCACCTCTGCAAGGTCACAACCGAACCGTATTTAAGTTAAAGGTCCATCCAGTGGCACCATCTCAGCTGCAGCTCGCGCCCACTTGACTGTGTGTGTGCGCGCGCATGAGAGAGAGAGAGAGAGAGAGAGAGAGAGAGAGAGAGAGAGAGAGAGAGAGAGAGAGAGAGAGAGAGAGAGAGAGAGAGAGAGAGAGAGAGAGAGAGAGAGAGAGAGAGAGAGAGAGAACGCGTAATTGCGCGCCATCAGGGAGAATGAGAAAGTTGTGCGTCTCCAACTGAATGTGCGGCAGGGAAAAGCGCCTCTTTATGCACGTGTGCGTGAGTGTGTGTGCGTGTGTGTGTGTGTGCACGCGGACAGGTACGTCAGACGTGCTCGTGCGCAGTCGCACAGTCGCACACCTTGTTCGCTGCGGAAAATTAGACGAGTGTCGGTTTCCAACGTCAACCTGCCGCTTGCAGACCAGGCGCGTGCGTGTGCGCGTGACCAGACATGTTTGCACGCAGCTAACCGGGGCCTTTGGCTGCAGCTGCGCGCTGAAGGTGAATTGTTTTAAGTGTGAAGCTGGCCTGAGTTCCTTCTGTTGTTTCTAATGTTTTTAGGTCTGCATCAGTCTGAATTCTCACGTGAGCGCTGTGAAATGCTTCCTGCAGCGTCACATTCTGACTGATTTGGGTTTTCTACTGTTGTCTTTGAAGGGAAACACATTTGCAGATTCTTTAGAAATATTTACTATCAGAAAGGTTTGCATCATTCTGGAGAAAGAAACTCAGATGTTCACCAGAAGCTGTGCAGATGTGTCCTTTCATGTTGTCTTCAGACTCGGTTTCACCTAAAACCGATGAGAAACGGCGATTACATTTAAATGCTGTGTATTAATAACATCTGACAATACACTTTTGATACGAACTGCGGACTGAAACATGTTTTTACACAGATAACCCCACCTGTGTCTGTAATCGAATTAAAAGCTGAGGTCCGTCAGTGAAAATGAAACCTTTGACCCCTCCTTCTGCCTCTACGGTTTGTGGAGGGAAACATCTCGACGGTTCAGGCTCACACCTGGAAACTCGTCCTGTCCCTCCCTCATATTTGTGATGTGTTATATTAGGATGTCTCCAGCTTGTACCGGTACAGTAGTTTGCACTGATTGATCAAGATAGCAAATTTATGCACATGAGCCCCTCATGTTGGTGCTAATGGCCCGTGGATATGGAGGTATTATGCAAATGCATCCTCTCCTGTAGGAAAGGAGTGCTGGTAAATGAGCGAGGGAGAAAACGGTGATTTTTAGTCCATTTTACTTGTGTTTATTCTCCTCTATTTACATCCAGCAGCAGCGGTTTGACGTTCCATTACACTCGGGATAAATCGCTGTGCATTTGTGCTACAAATTGTTTTGATTCAGAAGTGAAAGTGTAAGGCCGAGGGTTGTGAAGGAGGCAGCGTGACAGAAAGAAGGGATGAAAAATGTTGCTTTACCTTAAAGATGTGGCTTCTGTTCATGCTGCTGTCTTCATGGTAAAACAGAAGCAAATCATCCCTTTTCCTCTTTTTATTTGGATTTCTTTCAGGCTTTAGGAGTTGGGCAGCATTTGATCATTCCTCTCTTCTCTGTTCACCTCTTTGACCTTTTTCTCTTGTAATTTTCTGTTTAACCGTCTGACATGGGCTGCAGGATCATGCAGAGGAGCTGGTGGAGCTCTGTTTCATTTGAATCTGCTGCTCAGACACTGGAAGACAGGGATGTTGTGGGGGTTATGGGTAGGGATGGGTACCGAATTTGGTACTTTTTAAGGTACCGACCGAATTCCACAGTACCAACTGAGCACCGATTCACGTCGTTTCAAACGGTGCCTCGTTTCGGTACCCGTCCTTCATAACGAGAACTTGACAAGACAGCTGCGCATGCGCAAGAGCGTTATGTTGTCGGTCGCTGCGAGCCAGTTGTAAACAGAGCAGCATGGTAGAAAGAACACACGCTAACGCTTGGGTCCACTTCACTAAATGTGATGGGTAACTGGGTGATGATGAAACCAGCGACAACGATCTAAGTGAGACATCCTCATCTTAATCTGCTCCGGCAGGTAAATAAAATGTTTAAGATAACGTTAGCTTGATTTGTTAGCTTCCGTTTCGCCAATGGTGCGTTTCGCTTTCTCCTCGGAACTCCAAATTTCCGACTAGAACATGAACGCGCTCTAAAGTTTGGCTTCACTTTACTAAATGTGACGGGTGATTGGGTGAAGATGAAACCAGCGACAACGATCTAAGTGTGATGCATCATCATTTTAATCTGCTCCAGCAGCTAAATACACTGTTTAAGATAATGTTAGCTTGATATGTTAGCTTCCATTGCCACCGTTGTTATCAGCTAATGGTGCGTTCGCTTTCTCCTCGGAAATTCTAACTTCCCAGTAGGAAAAATCAAATGAAAAAGGACGGCAAAAGGAATGAAGATACACAGTAAATTTAGTTCACAGTAAAGATGTTTGCTTCAGTTTAATTATCAGCTTATAAAACTACAAGGACGATGTTAAAATACAAACAGTTGTATGTCATTTATTGTGATATTTATCAAATATGGTTATAAATTGAGAAAAATATATATTTAATCATAAAAGAGAATTAAAATAATAAACACTAAAAAGTATCGAAAATTGGTACCGTTAAGTACCGGTATCGATTCCTAGGTACCGGGAATTAGTACCGAATCGATTCAAATGTCAAAGGTACCCATCCCTAGTTATGGGTTGACTATTGTGAGAAACTTTCAGCTGAGTCTGACAGGATGAAATAGTTTCATAAAATAATAAAGCAAGCCTCTCTAAACTCCAGGCATCAATATGATGCTTAATGCTAACTTTTAATCCTTCTTTTCCTCCTTCAGACTCAACATGAAGAAGCTGAATATCTGAATCCATCTTTATATGGATTTTTATTCTAACAAAGCTCTTTTATTGACTCGTTTACAAACACAGCTGAGCGGTTTGTTAGGTAAGGTAAACACACAGCCTTGAACAGGATGAACTAATTACACAAGAAGAATCGGTTCATTTGCAAAACATCGAGCTACTAAACTTGATATCAGACGTCTGTGTCTGCGGCGACCTGTGGTAGGGACCTCCAACCTGCTCAGATATTCTCACTAACTTAGTTCTTCAGAAACAATTGAATTTGGGTCAAAATTGTGATGAAATTGGAACGTCATTCATCTTCAGAACCATCTTAAGCCACAACTGATGAGAAGCTCCCGTTCCGCCACATCCTAGTGGTTCTGGACTGGACTGAGATCTGGTGACTGTGGAGGCCGTTGGCATCCAGTGAACTCATGGTCATGTTCTAGATTATCTGAGCTTTGCAGCATGGTGCATGATCCTGCTGGAAGCAGCATCAGAAGATGGTTTGGGAAGCAGCAGAAATCCAGACTCATCAGAACAGGAAAGGTTTTCCGGTCTCTTTTGGTCCAATTCTGTGGATCCCGTGGGGATTGTACTGTCCAGTTCCTGTTCTTAGCTGACAGGAGAGACACCTGGTGTGGTCTTCTGCTGCTTGAGTCCATCTGGAGCAGCTGGTGACCTTCTACAGGCCTTGGTAGGAACCAGAGCTGCTGTTGTCATACTACCAGCCTGACCAGTCGCTGTAGACCCTATAGTTGTGGGTTTGAATCCCAGCAGATCAAACCAGTCTGTCTGGAAATCAAACACCGTTTTTATTTTTACTTTAATCATCATGAAGCTGTCATCTCCAGCCAAACTTTAAAGGGGCATTATGGGAGTGTGACAGCCAAAACATGTATAGAAATAATAAATGTCTTCTTCATACGTTCTCCTGCAATGCCCTGGTCCTGTAGAATGAGCCCTGGCATTTTTACTGTGATTGCCTGTTTTTCTGTAAAATCACAGAAAAAGAGAGATGCTCGGGTCGAGCAGGCTGCTTCATGCGCGTTCACGCTCAGGCATCGCCCGTAGCATTTGCTATCCGTAGCTTTAGCAGCAGAGAGAGAGGCAGTGCCACTTTGTCCCTGTTCCTAACACCTAGTGACAAAGCTAGCTACATTTCTGAGAACCCTTAGCTACTTTCTGTAGAACTTTCTTCTAGATATTTCCTGCAAATTAGCAACAAAATAGCCATTTTCACTCAAACCGTTCTTTGGTTTGACGTTGTTTCAGCTGTCATCAAGGATATAAATAGATACAAAGGATGTTACTGGTGCTTTAGCTCACCTAGTTAGACATCGGCCTCCCATGCAGAAGACCTGAGTTCGATTCTGGATGTGAACATATTTAATTTAGAGTTTCTTTTTTACATTAATGGAATATTTTTTTACAGCAAGATGCCAAAATTTTATTTGAGACTCGCCGAACGGCATTGAATTCACAGATAAAAAAGATGTGGGTTCAACTTTCATTTTGGAACAATTTTTCAAGCAAGGGAAGGGAATGATCTGAGCATGCAGGAGGACTGACCCATCATAAACCTTTGTCGGCTGTGCTGAAGAGAAAGGTACAGAACCACATTATTTAATTAATTAGCTGCACGTTCTCCTGTCCTCTGTCCTACGGGCCACACACACACACACACACACACACACACACACACACACACA